GAATCTGCAAGAGATAGAAGGATTAAAACAACAAACTCTTCTTCTGAATCTTAACTGCGGAATGACAGGAGAATAACTGTATCTGCTCCAGACAGGATGGAAAGGGAAGGGACACAGGAGAAGTGAAGAATAATATAATGTAATCTCTGAGCTATTTTAGTGCTCTGTCTGGAGCACAGAGTATATTTGGGTTCAGTGGCATGCTGAGAGAACAGCTAGAGTATGCTTCTCAGTGTTCTTCAATGCCTGTTGTTACTGCATAAACATTATTGAACTAATTGTTGCTTCCATGTGAGTTACAGACTCCTGCTTTGCTGATGGTTGTCTCAGGCTTAACTACCACTTCTGTGAATAACAAATAATGAAGAAGTCTTAAGAGCTTTTTAGACTGTTCTTTTTATAGGATAGGTAAGCTGGGTTTTCTGTTGCTTTGCTTAAGTTCTGGTGGGTTTTTCTCTTCCCCTTTAGAGTAGAAGGCCACCTACTAGAAAAAAAATCTTTGAAGTATAAATATGAACTTCATCTATCCAGAGATAACACCTGTATTGCCTGTGGGCAGAGTCTTAAATCAGAATGAGACTGCTACTTAAAGATGAGGCCTCTAACTTGTACTTATTAGATAGCAAGCTCTTAGGGTTTAGCTTTCCAACCCTTAAGCTAACTGATAAGGGGTAATCTCTTATATGGATCATGTGTAGGGATTCAGGAGAAGGGAATATTTTTTTTTTCTTAATTTTTTTCCTGTTGTAAAATGAGGTTTCAGGGAAGCTGATACTCAGTAACAGTAGAGATAGGTCTTTAAAGTCTCAAGCTGCTATCCTTGCAGCATGTATTATCAATAATACTAGCCTGAACAGTGTTTAGTACTAGATTCAGTTCATTTTGAAGAACCTATGTGGAAAAAACAGCCATGTATGCTTTTATTGTCTGTTACATTTGGATGACTTTTTGCTCTTCAGTGCAGTGCCTCTTAATCTGACTTAACACTTGTAGGGAAAGGTTATCTCAAAATAAATCCTGGAAACTGTTGTTTCAGTGGTATAAATATGTCAAGACTTAATAGCTTTTCATCAAAATTAATGTGTATAAATTAACTTGTCTTAACTACTTAAAAGGCTCTTCTGATCTGTTTTTATTCATATTCTAAACTTTGAACTAATTTGTTTCAGGACTGAACCCTCTCTTGGTTTTAGTTTATAGCTTTGGTTTTCCTGTACTATCTTCAATACATTGCTTGCCTCTTTAGTTGCTGGTACCCAAAATAATAGTCCATGAATAACTTAACGCTTGCACTAACTCAGTCTCGGCATAGCATGTATTTCCAACCACTAGACGTGGCAAATGTTATGTGCTCACAGGGGACCACTGCTGTAGCTACCTCTCCTGCTATCAAAAAACTCCTGTTACTCACTCAAATTAAAACCTTTTTTCAGGGCAGCCTTTAACTTCTGCATCAGCCTGAAGGAAAATGCAGCCCTGAAACTGAGCTAGTACAGCTTCTGTTCAGACCTGTGACACATCACATGAGATTACTCATCTTTATGTCCTTCATTTTATACACTCTTACCTTGAAGGACCAATGTGGCTTTTCCCCCCACTGATGATGGGAGGCTTAGTTGCATAATCATCTCACTATTAGCATCTTTTTGTATTCAAGAAAGGACTTTAGACTGCCTTTATCACTAGAGCAAGCTTGACATTCAAGTGTGTAATTCACATCTGCAAAACCAGCAAAACAATGCATTACCAAGAGTTGCAGTTTGCTTTGTAGAAACTTAAATTTTGAACATTTATAACTTTGAATTTTATTCCTTAACTATTTCTGTTGAGTAAATACTTGGTATCTGTTATTTAATGGTAGCTGTTTGAGGAACAGGTGGAAGCCTCTGCTTAATGGTGAAATAATGGCCTCTAAGCTTGGGTTTGTAAAATTATGTAGGCCTATTGTCATAGCAATCTCTCATTATTACATTTGTTTCTATATATTGAATGTCTTTGGCTCTGGCTGGAAGTGTTTGTGTACCACAGAGGGACCTTGGTTAGATTGCAGCCTTCCTTCTAGTTATGAAATTGGATGCTGTTTATACTTTCACTTAAATTCTGGAGTTATGCTACTAGCAGCCAGACCTTAGTGAGCTCTTCAGGGTCAGTATGGGTCCAACACTATTCAGTCTTCATAAATGACCTGGATGATGGGATTCAGTGTATAGTCATATAGTTTGACAATGATATTGAACCTGGGAGAAGTAGCTACAATAAAATGAAGAGCCACCACAGAGACATTGACAGGTGGAAATATTGGGCTAACAAGAATGGCATCAGGTTTAGCAGATGTTAAGGCCTTCTCTTGGAATGGATTAATTACAAGCAACAGTTCATGCTGGTGTCTGACTGGCTGTGGGATGGTTCTGCTAAAAAGGACCAGTTAGTCCTAGTGGACAGCATGCTGAGCATGAGCCAGCAATATGTCCTGCAACATAAAGGCAAACACTGTCCTGGGCTTGCATCAGCAGGAGCATAGCCAGTAGTTCAAGGGATGTGATTATTCTGCTGTATTTGGCACTTTCAAAACCACACTTGGGAATACCATATCTGGTTTTGGTCCCCCATCTTAAGAAATTAGAAAACTGTAGAGTTGCCAGTAGAGGCTTATGAAAGCGATTAGAGAGTTGGAGAATGCAACCCATAAAGTTTGAAGGACATCTCTTCAGTCTAGAGAAGAGGAGGATTGGGGGGAGACTACTTTTTAGCTCCTGTAAATAGCAAAGGTAGCTTAATGCTCTCAAATGAGATATTCTAAAGGGAGAACTGAGCCAGTTTACAGACAGAGTTGTAAAGTCCAGCCTAAGCTTAAATTCTTTTTGTAACCTAAAGTACTTAATCTTGTAGGTAGGCCTCTCTCTGGTTGTATGCCTGTGTTCAAACCACAACTTTTAGAATGTCTTGGAAAGTATGAAATTTTGTTGCCATCACTAGCTTATGATGTCTCCTTTGTGTAGCTTTTATAGCAAAAAGCTCTACCATAGGGACTGGAATTGTCAGTTACCTTTTGTAGCTAAAAACATTGAGTTTATTTGCAGCACTGTTTACAGACTGTTTCAAATACCTTTTAGTGGTATTTTTGGGTGACAAATGAGGCTGTCATCTCTGAAGTCCTGAAATGCTGAGCAGATAGCTAATAGCCTACCTTAATCTCTAGGAGTTCATGGTAAAACCAACTCTAATACTATACAGCTATGCAAAAAAAGTCATGTAGTGCAAGTTGTCAAATATCTAGATGAATGTATTCTTTGATAATACATACTTCAATAAATATTTGAAGGAAAATACTTTTCTACCCTTGTTTAAATGCTTTAAAGTGATTTAACAGGTACCACTCTTTCCTTGGATTTGAAGCCTGTTAAGACATGTGTGCTATCTGCTTGTTGAACTTAACTTATGCTGTTCCAACAATTTACTGTTAATTGTCACTCTGAACATAAGAAACCTCATTGCACAGTAAGTGGACAAGGCTGTCAGTGCTAAACTTCTGTTTCATGCTTTTAGAGCCTGACACTTGGAGGAATGTTTCTTGAAATAATGGAATACTGTCACTTGCAGAGTGAAACTGAAGTTTGTGGGCTCAGTGTCAGATACTTGTATTGAAATGGTTATTTTAAATAGTTAATGCAGTTTTGAGATACAACAATAGTAAATATTGTATCATATAAATATTGTATCAAATAAATATGAAGTGTCATAGAAGTGGGTGTTGATGGCAGGGTATATGGCATGTTGAAAAATACACCAATGAAATGGACAGTGTCTTGCTTAGAGTACAATGCATGAGATATTTGTATGTCTAAGTAATTTCTTAAGCAGGTCAAATCAAATCTTGTGTACAGAAAGCTCATGACCTCACAGCATGTATGGTGACACTTATGCTAGTGTTTGTGTTAAGTCTATTCTCAGTATGAAATGTAAAGCTGTTCTTGAAGGACGGAGTGGTACTTCTGTGAAAAATCTGGGAAAGTGCTCACTTTTGAAGTTAGTGAATGTTCGGTATCAAACACTCTAGGGAAATTGCATGTGTTAATTGTGATTAGGAGAAAGAAAAGAAAAACCTTCTTGCTGAGATCTGCACCAAGAACAACCTATCACCAACAGCCTCCCACACCCAGTAATAAAAAAACCTATCACTGATGTCTCTAAAATGCTTGGAGAAATTTCTGACTTTGGCCTAGATCTCTAGGACTCGTAGGGTAGCAATGGCATTTTCTTGTTCACCTTGCATCAAGTATCTGTTTCTTCTTAGGTTAGTGAAAAGCTTACAGACTCTCCACTGGAAAATGTGGGCATAGTGTTGATGCAGAAGCTGGCAAACACTTTGAATGACATGGAATTTATAATTAGGAGTGAATGCCAACAAAATGTGAATGGGTATCTAAGCAGTCCTGGAATGTAACTGAGTTCAGATGTTTGCCTAGCCTCTGTCTTTTTTTTACCACATTTTTTAGTAGATCAGGTGCTTTCTATGTAATTTCATTTTAAAAGTAAGTTGAAGACTACTGACTACAAAGAAATTGTTTGTACTTTGCCTCTAAAACTATTTGAGTGTCTAGAAATTCCTGTTTTATACATTGCTTTGATTATAATCTCAAGTGGGAAATTTAAGATTTTTGGGAAGCTAAATGGGATGATGAAAAACCCAAGGACTAGCTTGATAAAACTACGGTGAGCTATGCTTATATGAAGTCTTCACGTATGCTGTTTCAGTGATTGAGACACTTCAGGATGTTTGGAACAATGCAAGTCTCTGGAATCTTCATAGCATGTTTGTCTTTTGCTCAAAACAAAAAAAAAAAAAAAAAAATTGATTGCCTTAAGAGTCTGTAGAAGGAGGTTGGGGAAGAAAAAAAGCCAGCAGTGATAACTTGTAGCTACAGCATAACATCAGCCTTATCAGATGGAAATGTATGGCAGAAAATTTGAGTTAGTATGCTGCTTTTTTTTTATTTTAGGCTTATGGTATGTCAGCCTTGCCCCTAAACTTAATTAAGGGAACTACCAGTGCGGCTTATGAACGTTTAGAGAACACTGAAGATATTGAAGAAGTGGAGCAACATTTATTAAGGATTAAATCAAAGGTATGGTCTTCACTGTTCTCACTTTCTTAATTGTGTGTGGGGTTTTTTGCTTGCTTACTAGTTTATGGTCATACTGTTGAGAGTTTTTGTTCAAGAAAGAATAGCAAGTCAGAAGTCACTACCTTGCAGTTATTTGAGTTATTTGGAAACAAGTATGGTCATTTGTAGTAGCAAATCAGGGTCTTTTCAGTCCTGCAGCAGTAGTTACTTCTGTCTAGCTAACATTGCTTCTCACAAGCTATGCTCAAACTTCTCTAGGTCCTGCTTGGGTATATAGAAGAGATACTTTGTAGAAATTAGGAATATTAACCTCACTTAGTCTGCTACCAGAGATGGCATACAGTTTTGTTGCTGCTTTATCAACATTGGATACTTGCCACATGGAGCTGTCATGAGTTAGATTCATCAAACAATTAATCATCTTTATGAATAAATAAGAGCCCCAGATATTCTTGCTCCTCAGTTAATGTACCTTACTGTTATAAATCATTTCTTCATGAAAAGTTTACATATGGAATCTGTTATGAATCCTAAACATCCCTAGGATGTTAACACTATTTGTAAAGCCATTATGGCTTTGCAGCTCACTGAAGTGCTGTGCCTCGTGTAAGCAGGACACTTTTAACAACCTAAGAGCACAAGCCAAAAGAGGATAAGATTTATCCTTTATATACAAGATGTTAGGGGTAATCCCAGTGCATTTCAGATAATGGTTTGACCAGTGTTTTCACAGCCCTCGGTGGGGGGAAGGGGACATTCAGATGCATCACTTCCATCTTGGCAGTCCATCTGTGCTGTTGTGTGCTTTGTGACAGTGGACCTCAGCAGTGTTGAAACAGTTCCAACAGTCTTCATTTGATACTTGGCTACCTCAATACAGTGTGGGCACCTTCAGTGTTCTAGAAATCTTACTGCATAATGAAACCTAAAAAGTAGTCTCCCCCAGCTTAAAGTTTTGGTTTTGTACAGAGTACTACTACAGCAAAGGCATCTATTACTGAAATCAATGTGAGAAAAATGAGAAACCCCTGACAAATGAAGTATTACTTACTACAGAAGGTGGTTGGATTATGAGCTTGCAAGCAACTGGTCTCATTCAATCTAGCAAACGAGTAGAATCAAAAAGTATAAAGTCTAAGTTAATGTGACCATTTGTATAAACTAATTTTCCTTGATTTATGGATTATGGTCAAGGTTCTTGAGTCTGTAATTAAAATACCAGTTCTTCAGTTGCGTTTGCTTTAAGTTGTGAAGAAAGTGAGTGTTACTGAAACTAATGTAAAGTTGAAAACTAAATGTATGAAAGTATGTTTATTAATATAATGAAAAGATTCAGTATGTAGCATAGTCTGCTATTCATACACCTGGTAGCTGTATTTCATTAGTCTTAAACAATTGAAGCTTGCACTTGCAGCTTAAGAGCTTAGACTTTTCAAAAAGTGTTTTTCAAGTCATTGAGGTGCCGTACAGGGTATGGAGAATACGTGTTCCTGTTAAAAGTACATTCAGATATCTTAATTTGTGTTAGATGTTCCGAGAATGTGGTCTTAAACTTGTAACCTTTTTGAGAAATTTCTCTAAAACAGATTCACTTTAACTTCACTGGGTATGAAGCATTTCACTGTTTGAAGGAAGTCTCTTTTAAAATAAGAGGGAAAACATTGAAGGGGGAATTCCAAAATTTAAAAACATAGTAGGAGATGTATTAAACTGCAAGATTTTTTTTTGTCTAAGGATTGGTTTGTTATACAGTAGCAACAATGTTAGAAAAAAATTTTGCTTCAGCTACCTAATGCCTATTTTGTTGCTTTTGCTTATTAGTATAGAACTGATGTTTAAGGATGTGCTATTAGATTTACAACAGAGTACAGTGGTGCCTGCTCAGATTTTAGAGGCTCAAAATTAAAGTACATTCTTAACTGTTTATTTGATTATGTTTATCTTGTACACTCAACTAATTCTTGGGGTAATAGTGCCTCTTGTTTGCATTTCTGTAAGGATAATTTTTGAAACATCAAGTCACCTTGCTCTTGCAAGTACAAGAAACACAGATGGGTATCTAGTGGAATGCTGGCAAGAAAATACAGGTGCTGAGCTTTGTATATACAGTTACTCATGGAATTTAATTGGAAGTGACCTCTGAAAGTCGTTGGATTCAACCCTCTACACAAAGCAAGGACCTCTTTCAGATTAGATAAGGTTATTCAGATCACATCTGGGCATTTTAAGTGTTTCTAGCCATGGAGACTGCCCACCCTGTTGAAATTTAACATTGTCATTGTGGAAAGTGTTTTCTGCCACCTGATAGGAATTTCCCCTCTGTTATACATTGTGACTTTTACACTTCACTCTGTTGCTATGCATAGCAACAGTGTGAGTTATATACTACAAAGTCTTTGAATTGAGAAAATAGACTTGTAACTCATTAAAGTAGATGTCAATAACTCTAATGTCCCTTGATCTTCTGCAATGTTTTTTGGTACCCAGTGTAGAGATGGTCGGCCTCTGTCGTCAAGGGATAGACGGACTGTACAGCAACTAGAAGAGAGACTAAGGACACTGAGAAGAAGAGAGAGGCATCTGGAGTCTATTGAGAAGAGCTGGTGGACAAAGTTCTGTGAAGCTATCCGACCTTTAAAGGTAAGACTTTTTATCATTTTTTCAGTCTTGAATTGAAATCATTTCCATCTTCTTCCCATATAAATCATAGGTCAAGCTTATCAATTACCATCCTGCATATCAACTGCTTATTTTCTTCATTACTGTTATGCTGCACAATAATAGCCCTATAGCAAGCTCTGAGCTCTTGGAAAACCTTTTACTTAGCCTAAGATATAATTAAGATAGAGAAGGAGCAAGTCCTAGCTGATCTGCTTTAGTGCCACTGCCATAGAAAATGTGAATATCTTTATTTTCTCAGGCAGATGAAAATGGGGTGAAGAGAAGAAATAACTCTATAGCTGACAGCTATATTAGGTTACTGTAAATCACATGTAGCTAGCAAAAGTGAGAGATACTTTAAGAATATATGCATTTGGAATGAGCATCTTGTCAAATAATTGAGCAATACAGCAAGCTAGCTGCATAGAACTTAGATCTTGATAGTTTACCAGTGCAGAGGAGACTGTTAGTGGAGCAGAACTTTGATCTTGGTCTCTTCTTGGTCTTAGGATTTTTATTTTAATAGATGCTTTTATGGAACAGTATTGCTGTATCCATTATTTTTTTGCCAGCTAGGTGTAGGAAGAAATTTTTTAGCATTACTTTAAACTGTAGGCTTGAACTTTGAAAAGCTATGGGGGGACTCTAAGCAATTACCTCTGTCATTGCTACTGTTAATGCTGCGTACCAACGGAAATGGTCTGAAATTGGAGTTGAACAAAGGCTTTTAGTGTGAAAATCTTACTGGAGTTATCTTGCTATGATATGTTAGAAATCTAGACTTAGTCCTTTCATTTAAAAGACAAATATCCCTAATTATTCACTTCAGCAGTTTGGATGCTTCCTTTGATTCAAAATAGCTTGTGTAGTTTATTTAACTTCACATTAACCTTGATTTTGAGAAATATATTTGCTATACCTATTGTCTGTAGAGTTTTTAAGTTCATTGTGTTTTCATAGGATAGTGTACAATATTATTACTTACAGATTATCACTTATGGTCAGGACGGTATTCTAGCATATCTTTGTTCTTGTGATTTCAATGCTTTTTTTATTCTCTCAGTAACTGTGACAGTCACTGTGAATTGTTGACTTAAAAATTGCAGACTAAAGGGGAGTTGCAGATGATGGATGATTTTTCCTGACAGATTTTCACTTGGAACAGGATGATGGTATGATACTAGTTACAAAACTTGTTTAGTTTAACTTTTGAGCTGTCCTGTGAAGATGTCAATCACTTAACATACTAAGTCTTGCAGGACTGTTTTATTGTTACTTTAATAGCATTTGGGTTGTCTTTCACTTGTATCTTAGCCACTAATTGAATGGTTGACTTCATGAAGGAAATGTTTTAATTTCCATATATTCTACTTCTGATCCACAGAGAAGTGCAGAAGATAACTTGGAGCTTTGCTTAGTGCTTTATAATGCTTCTATCTTTAGTGTAACTTGTATATTATTAAGTATATGGCTGTTTCTCAGACTTTAAGAGAAATTCCATTTGTTGTGAAGCAAGTACTAGATACGGAGAATGCTGTTTCTGCTTTGTTTGGGATGGTCAGGTTTATGGAAGTTGCAGACTTACAGGATATGACAGAGCAGAACATGTTCAGGAAGAACTCTTAGTTTTGGAGGTCTTTTGCAGTGTAAATGTATTTACATTTACACCTTTATAATGATACTGTCTTTGCATAGTGTCCTCCTATAGTCTTGCTTTAATAATTTTGTAACTGCTAAGTATCTATTAGTGTGACTTGCTAAACAAAGCCAAAACTTTTTTTTCTCTGAAGAGTAAGGGTTTTTTTGACATGGAGTAAAGTAAATTCTGAGAACAAATGTTTTACTCAAAGCTGAATCTGTTAATTTTTGAAGGAAGGTGAAAGCGAACTAAAAGATGAAGCTGTTAATTTTTCAATTTAGTCAAAAGCAACACATCTGGAAAATCCCAAGGAAATTAGTAATGGTGGTCATGTGATTGTCAAGTAATGTCAAAGTAGTCTAATTTGTTTCTACAAAATGTAACCTTTCCCATAGATAGCAATCTACTTCTTCCCTTATGATGGTTTTCTCACATTTTCATCTGATACTTTCTGCAGTAAGAGACATGTGGTATACTCTAGAGATAAGTATAAAAACTGCTTAGGGAAAAAACCTCCAGAGCACATAGGTATGTTTGCTCAGTATATGAACAAGACTATAGGTTGTAAAACATGGAAGTCAATTCAACAATGGTAAGTTGGGAGTACTACATCAGTTTTTCATGAGGTACTTCAAAACAGTTGTGAACCAACTGAAGAGATGCCTAAGGTGAGCAATATATGAAAATTCAAGTGCAGCGTTTTGAAGATTCAGACCAGCATTGTCTTGATAAATAGTGGTACACTTTATCTCTCCCTTGCTAGAGTTCAGGTTTTCTCCTATCTAATCTTAAGAATAGTGAGAACTCTGTATAGATGTGTCTATCTCTCCACCTCCTGCTGAAGTCCTTCAGAGAAGCATAGGTACAGTTAATGTTGTCTTGAGGATGGAGGGCTAGGTTATTACTCTTTTATTTTTTCTTTTTTTTTTTTTTTTTCCAGTGGGCTTTTAATTCTGTTTCCCTGCCCCACACTCCTCTGGAGAGAGCTGAAAGAAAGGAAATTGTAAGCAATTGCTTGGAATAACAGCCATACTAGCAGAGTGCTAGTGCAGACTAGGTGCTGTCAGGAGTCAGTTTACTTGCCTCAGAGGTGGTGTGGCTAAACTGACAGACTTCCTGTGTTCACAGCTGCATCTTCTACATCAGGGAGGTTGGCAGCATGACAAGCAAAAGCTGTGAATATTTCATGTCCTAGACTTATATAGTGGTAACTCAGTGTTAATTGCTTCATCTAACAATCATTTTGAACCCATGCTATCCAGCTTACCTGGAACTTCCTGGAAGGTAGGTCATGTCAGGCTGTAGTGCTGTGGGTTGACTTGGCTGACTGCTGAATGCCCATCCAGTTGTGCTCTCACTCCCTATCAACAGGATAGGGGAGGAAATAAGATGGAAAAATGTGTGGGTTGAAATAGGGCAATCATTTATCAGTTACTGTCATGGGCAAAACAGTTGAAGAAAATTTGCCAATTAAAATTGATTTTTTTTGAATGGTAAAAAACAAAGACCATTTAAAGTGTCTAAGTGACACAAAGACCTCCTGCCCCCTGCCCACTTTTTCCTAAGCTTGGCTTTACTCCTTTAGTCCTGACTCTGGAGTGGCACAGTGAGGATGAGGAGTAGGGAGTTGCTGTCAGTCCGTAAGATCTCTTCCCTGCTGCTCCTACTTCCTCACACTTTATCCTTGTTCCACCATGGGTCTACCCTGTGGGCTGTAGTTCCTGTTGAAAAACCCTGCTTCAGCATGTGGGATCCCTTAGGCTGCAGCTTCCTTCAGAAAACATCCACTTGTTCTGGTGTGGAATCCTTCATAGGCTGAGTGTGATTATCTGCTCCATCATGGTGCTGTTAACAGGCTGGGGCGGGATGTCTGCTCCATTGCCTGGAGCAGCACCATCTTCTCTGAACTTGGTATCTATAGGGTTGTTTATCACTTTTTTTCTCTCACTCCTCTGCTGTCTGCTATTTTCCCTTTTCAGGGATATGTTTTCACAGAGGGGCCAGCAGTTTGGCTGTTGGGCTTAGGTTTGGCCAGCAGTGGGTCATTTGGACCCAACTGGAAGTGGCCGTGTCCAGCACAGGGTAGCATCTGACCTCTCCTCAGAGAGGACACTGCTATAGCCCCTCTGCTACCAAAACCTTGCTGTGTAAACCCAATAAAAATAGTAGGTGTTTCCCATGGGGAATCCAGCTTTGCTTCCTGGTCAGTATAATTCTTCTATAATGTGTCACAAGTTTTCTTTACTCTGTAAATGGATACCAGCCCTGAGAGGATGACTGCTCCTTTAAATTTTTGTGTTGCTTCAGTGTTGTTTCAGTCATGGAATAGTCCTAAGCAGAATCACAGTTTCTTTTTTGTGAGTATGTGCTGCTGTAGGACTCAATTGAGCAGGAGAGTATTCTTTTAGCTTTTTGGAGGGCAAATATTAACGATATTTGGAAGTTAATTTTGAGGCTTTTTAAAGAAGTACCACTTAAGTTTGTGGATCATGTGCTCATTCCTACTCAGAATAAATTAAGTCTTAAATTCCATTATTGTCTTAATATCACTTCAGAATTATCCATAGATTAAACAAATCAGCTTGACTGAGGTCTGGGAGCAGGGATAGGAGGCAAAGAGCTCTCTGAATAACTCAAACAAGGATGATGCAGGGATCAGAGAAATGTTTAGGAAGTTGAAGGGTACCAGGGAAAACTATGTAAGCAGAACATGAATAATGGCAGCAAAAACTTATCAGCTTGTGACTTGATTATGTGCAGTAGCAGTAGAAAAATAATCAGTTGAATATTTCAAAATTTATTTGGCCTGGCTTACTAAACTGAAGTACAAGTCAGCTTTCCACTATGACCTAGAAGTAGTGTGCTTCCATTTATACTATTGAGAAATGCCTATATTGATGTTTTTGTCTTGGTTTTTGCTTAGCCATGTCTTTTAATCATATATATTCAAATGTAAAACAAAGCTTTAAGTAAATCAGTTCTTACTGTCTTCTGCTTTAGCTGCTTCCTTACTTGCCCATGTAGAGTCTTTCTATTAAGATGCTAAAAGAACTCATTTCAGTCAGCAGTGTAAGTTGTATTAGTAGGCATTATTTCAAGTCCTTGTTTTTGTAATTTCTGTTGTCTTGTATAAAAACATGGTTCACTGTTTTCTGTCAGTTACCTATATGTATGCTAGATTGCCAAACATTGTAGACTAGAAGACCTGGATGGACACTGGTGATCAAAGTGATCTAAGTGCAAGGCAGCAGCTCTGAAACCTGTTCTGTAGCAAATGATTGACTACAGGTGGTTATGGGGTCTGTGTTTTGTAGCTGAGGTATCTGAGGAAGTGGCCTGGAAATAGAGCAGTTCAAACTGATTGTAGTGGAGGAGGTAATATAACTTGAGGTATGGTTCCATTGAGGTCCTGCTTTCAAAAGCACTAGGGAGTAGGAAACAAGATTGTCTTGAATTGAAAGTTAGACTTTTCTTAATGTAGATCAAGAGTTGCTAGGTTCTTTAACCTTACTAAATTTCTGTGTTTGGCTGAAACCCAGGGTTTTTGTTTTCACCTGTTATAGTACTGAAAGCTTTTCAGTATCAGTTGATAAAGCAATAGTGCTTCTATGAGAACAAGAGGTTTTGGTTAAGCACTGTCCTTTACTCTGAAGTTGAACTCATGTTCTTGGGGGCTTGGATTCCTTCTCATTTATGCTGTAACACAAAACAAAACTATTTTGTAAATTTTCATGGCTAAGCGTATCTAGAATCTTTGAAGATACTGTAGTTGCTTTAAAGCTAGTAAACAGCAGTGTCCCAATAAGATTGTGAATGACAAATTTGTCCTTTGCTACAGGTGGTAAGTAAAAAGGCAAGAGTGAGTGTATTAATTCCTATGGCAATGTTTTTCTAGGCTACCTTAGGCTTTACGCAGATGAAAGGCAAGGAAGTATTCTATCCTTTACCCAGATACTAAATGATACCCAACCGGAGACATGCTTTTAACTTAAGTGAGGTTGATACCATTTGATAAGGCTCAGCTGGACTATGTAAATTGCAAACTCAACTACTAGTCTGAGTGTTGATATTCTCTTAGTTGTTGACCAAGTGCTGGTTAATAGACTAGAAATGAGATGTAGATTAGTCTGTAATCGGTTGAAGTACCAGGAGAATCTAGATAAAAACACAAGAATCCGTTCAGACAATCAGTTGACTTAGGCCTTTCACAGAAGTTGTATAAACATAGGTTGATGTTAATTGCAAATAATTTCGGGTTCAGTAGTCTTAATGGCACTGTGGAAATACAAGATAAGGTAGAATAAGGTAGAAATAAGGTAGAATGAAGATCTTTTCAATCTCTTGTTTCATAGGGCTGCTCTTGAGGTTAAAACGTGAAAAAGAGGGCTTTCTTAACTACTTATCTACTTCTGAGAGTGTTATGCATCGCTTCAGAAGACAAATACATTCCAGAAGTATGGGTAACTGTCTATTGGTCCTAGTTAGCAGAAGATAATTAATGCACACTTCAGACTCTTGGTCTCAATTTTTTTTAAATGTTTCCTGTATGGCTGATATCTAGTGGGAGTTTGCTGTGGAGAGGTAAAAATTTAGTACACTTAAATATGTGGAAAGGCACAAGTTAAGACTTACCTTGATATTTGTCTCTAAATCTATATCTAATAAGGCCTACATAATTTGGTCCAAATCTACTTGATTCATAGAACAAAAAGAAAATCTAAATATGAAGAAAAGTAAATGGGGAAAACAATGTACAGTTATCAGAACATTACTTTTAGTTCTCTAAACTTACTGCTAAGCTTCCTGAATTTTTCCTGTTTAAAATAAACTTTTCATACTTTTACTATATTCAAAGATTTTTAAGCTGTTTGCTTATTTTAATCTAGCATTTAAAACCTGGAAAACCTGAATGCATAAACCCAATTTAACTGCTCATATGGTTGGTCTACCAGGACTAAATGAAGATTTTTGTGAAACACTAAGTTTACATGCCACCTTGGCTTAGCCAAGCAATTATGCTCTTATTTTGTATGTCAGGCAGTTCTATATTACTGTCCAAAAACTTAAAAAAAAGCTTGCTATTACTAATTTTAAAAACAATAGCAGTATCTGATTTAATTATAGTGGTCCTTAAAAATTTTTACCTGTATCTATCTATGCTCTGACTTGCTGGCTAAATAACCACAGCTGTTACACACTTTTTGGTTTCAAATTCTTGAATAGGGTATGTATTCCAAAGGAAGATTTCAGGGTAAATGACTCACCTAGTGTAGCTAAAGGGGTATGGAAGCTTTTTTGAAACCTTCTCCAGAAGAGGCCTTTATTCGGCAGTTGTGATGTGGTTGTAGTAATCTCATTTTACTTTAATCACTTGTGAATAGATAGTGTTTTAAAATAATAGTATTTAAGTAGCACTTACTTAGCTTTTCTTGAAACTCAAGTATTTTTCCTACTACGTTAGTATATATAAGCATCTCTTCCCATCTGCTCAACACCAAAATCGGGGTGGTTTTCTTCAAGTCAGCCCACTTTTCTATGCTACATTTCTGTAACTAGAGCTGCATTTCTCATTATAATAATATATATTGAAACTGAGCAAAATGTGTGAAAACAGATTCAAAAAAGGATGTGGTTCAGCTTGATTCACTGCTGCTGAAAACAGTTCTGATTCAATAGAGAAATTAATGTATGTTAAGGAAGTTTAATTCTGACTACAAAAATACTCTCATTTGCTTGAATGAATCTTCATGCATGAAGGTATTTCTTGGGCTGGGTAACTGGTGCTTAAATTCTTGCAGTAAGTTAAATGTATAATCCAGTATAATGTGCATTACACTAATTGTTTCATGGTGTTGAAAGCAATATAGCTGGCTGCAAATCAGGTGGGTTTCAGTGAAGACTGACACAAACCAGAGGTCTCAATGTTGGCATTTTTAATTTTTCAGACTGGGGAAGTAAGTTCTGTGACCCAAACTAAGGAAAAGCTAAAATGCCAAGGAGATGCAGAAATCAATATACCTTTTCATAGGACAAGTGCTATGAGTGTGGTAAAACAAAGCATGTATCTATATAGATATGAAAAAGCTGTCAGCTGCTGGGCTGGGTTTTTAAGGGTTTTTTTTTGAGCTGCCCTTTTAAACTAAACTGAAGACAAAAAGCTCTGGGACAACCATAGCACTTAACCGGTTTTTCTTAATTACTGCAGTCTGGACAAAGCTCTACATTCAGCTGGCTTCGACTCGGGATTTATAATTTTAGGAACTAATCTGACCAATCCATTGAATATGCTCTTACCTGTTCTTCAAACAGTAAGTAAAAAAATGGTGATATACGTATGTAAGGATGTTCCTATCTTTTCTAGTGAGCTGTCAAAAGGTGAAGTACATTTGGACCCAAACTGTTCGTTAAAACTGTCTAGATGTCTGTTCTGTAAAAGCAAGGCAACTTCCTTGGTAACAGTCTTTTAGTTATTAGATATGGATATGAAAAACTTGGGTGGATTGCAGCCAGTTGCTAGAGGAAGGTGGTGCTAGAAACTAGCTTTCATCTGAGAACATCGTGGCAATGAAGAATGACATCCCTTGTACTTATCATGCACAGAATAAAAGCAACTTCCTCCCATACCCTACCTGCTTTCTAGTTGTTTGTGTACCTTGATAGTTTCTCCCCCCCCGAAGTAAATTGTTGTATCTTGAAAGATACATTACACTCTGTGCGTAATGTCTGTTATAGTAATGCATTAGTCTTTGTAACAAATCCTACATAAGAACACACATCTGTAACTTCAGTGGGGTTGGAAGGCAACAAGACCACATGAATTTGGCAATTGGTCATAAGTAAGCTAAGGAAAAGAAAAGCTTTAATGGAAGTGAGTGTTTTGTTCTCCCCTGGTTGAGTTCTTTCCATATTCTTGCTGTAGTGGGTTGGCACAATGCATTTCTTCACCATGGTTTCTAAAACTATTGAATACCTAAGTTTGCATTTTACTAAGAAAAGTAGTGTTCAGCAGCATTATTATCTCAAGTTGTTATTAATCTAAAGGTAAAAATTGGCAAGTATGTTCAGAAATATTCAGATAGAGTGCCTGTGCAGTCCTAAAATGATTGTTGCCACTGAGGACTTTGTTTTAAATGTACTCTCAGAATGGAATTAAGTATTTCTTGGCCTAAAACTGTAGAACACTTCAAAATTAAAGCAATATTAAAGAAAAATGCTCAGTTGCCTTCCTAAACTAATTGTATAAGCTTCTATTAGCAGCAATATTAGCTATATTTGGAGGCAGTTATGTAAAAATTTTAAATGGAAGGACTGTTACTACCTCAGATGCTATAAGTAGAAACTACTTAAAGCTAAATAAGTGGGGGAAGAGCTTGTTTTCTAGTTTGAACATTTTCTTGTTGTCTGAACTTGTGTTCTTCTTGTTTTAGGTTTTTCCACTTGATTATATTCTTATTACAACTATTGTTATGTACTTTATCTTCACTTCAATGGCAGGGATTCGAAATATGGGTATATGGTTCTTCTGGATAAGGGTAAATATGACTTAAGAGTTCAGTCTACAATACTCAGTAAGATGTTTAACAAATACAGGATATTGAATATATTTAATACATAGTCATTATGTCCTGCTTCATAAATACTGTATGTTGCAAATAGCACTGTCTGTATGTCTGAGTGTTAGAAGCCTATTGTGCACTTTTTACAGCTTTTGTTCTAAGTTATCAGACCAAACCTGATATTTTAGTTTAATCAATACAGTCAGCTGACTCAAGTGTTTAATCAGTGGCACTTTGGCTTCTGACTTTTGTAAATTAAAGCCATGTAATTCTGATATACCGAAAGTATTAGTGAATTTTATGGTCAAAATCTGAAATGTGCATGCAGTCAGTGTTTGACTTGTATTTTAGGTGGCAAGCAAGTTTATCTAGATTGATAAGATATAAAACAGTACAGTGATATGACACATCTAAATATGATGCAAATAATATATGGCTCTGTCAAAGGCATGTTTGTGTCCAACAGTATGTCATTCATGCTTATGGTGCTTGGTTAAGTATTTCCTTGCTTTGGTACCTGCTTTCCCTTTAATACCATCATGTGGTGACACCCCAAAATTGTAGAGAGTGACCCTGAGTCCTTGCAGTGAGTTGAGAATGGCTGTTTTGGTCTTCCATCATTTATTTCTCAGCTGTCAGCCTCTTTACCCTAATGTGGTACTCAAGTTGACTCTCTGGGAATTCCCTGCAGTGTATAAAGTGGAGAAGATGCCACCATATGGTGTGTAAGTTTTTCTGAGACTGGGAATACTCTCTCATAACTCCCTCCTCTGTTTTTCAATCTGATTAGAGGTATAGTGATAGATAACACCTCACCTTGACTGAAGGACAAAATATTCTTTGTCAAACCAAGGTGCAGTTTGTTATCAATGATAGGCAAAACCATTTAAATCTTGCTACTTACTGCTGGTGTATAAGTGTTCTGGGTCATTAATACAAACAACAATTAATTTAACTAGTTGTGCTTTGAAATTCAGGTAAATATACCTGAAAACTTTGACTTATCGGAATTAAGTTGCCAGAGGATAATTTTAGCAGCTCCCACTTCTGTCAGTAGAATTAAAACTGTTACTTGAATTAGAGGGTTCTAAATGTATTTAGGGAAAAAAAATCGTTATGTTAATATTTGTATGTTTTTTGGTTTTAGCTTTATAAAATCAGACGAGGAAAAACTCGACCTCAAGCACTCCTGTTTCTCTGTATGATACTTCTGTTGATAGTTCTTCATACAAGTTACATGATCTACAGTCTTGCCCCTCAGTATGTCATGTATGGAAGCCAAAAATACCTAGTACAGGTAAGATGTGATACTTTAAAAAAAAAATAAATCTTACCTTCTGTATCAAAAATGTACTGTTTCCAGTGACTTTTAAAGCCAGGCCCATTCTCAGTTTTGAGAACTTACTTGAGCAGGGTTTAACTACTAGTAGGTATTTTGATAATAGACAAGTGAAAAACTGTATGTAGTGTATGTAACATAACTGAATTCCTGGACCATCTTCAGACAGTATACAACATTATTATTTTACTTCTTTTGATAAGACAGCTGCTAGCTTCCACTAGATTTTGTACTGGTATGCTTAGGTTGCCAAGTGACAGGAATGAGAATTAGTTTCAGTGTGTAAGGCTGTCTGTAGACTCAAAGCAAAGTTGCTGTTCTTCTGCATTTGGTAGTTTTTGTACATATTTGTGAGAAATTATGAAGATAACTTGATACAGTAGAGAGAAATAATCAGAATTGAGTGCGCTGATTAATGACATTTCAGACACCGGACTGTCCAGCTTCATGAAACTCATTGCAGTTCTGATATATAAAGTCTTCTACAGAATTAAGTAGTTAACACTAGTTTCTGCCACTGTTACTGCACTTTTCATGTACTTTGAGGTTTTGGTTTTCTAGCCTTCTATCTTCTGTACCTGATGGTTTTTATTCTTGTATTTCATCTTAGTTCGAGTGGAAGGCTACGTATTTATGGGGAAGTTCAAAGTTACACGTTGTAGGCATCTTGAGAGGTTTTATGAGCAGCTGTTCACCAGGATCTGGTATCATACAGGGGTAGGCTTTGTTAGATCTGATCTTGCAAGCATAGACAGCTAACCAGGTCATGAACTGATAGCTCATATTCAGTCACAATCAAATCCCCATCTCCTGGTGTGTTGTTTAGGGTGTAAGTATGAGTTTCACAAAGACAGAACAATTGAGCCAGAGTGGTTGGGAGAAGAGATTTAAATGAAACTGAAATAACTGGATGCTGCTTCAAGCACTTGAAATAGTTCTGTTTGTTTTCCAGAAGTTTGTGCCTCTGGGAAGAGAACACACTGCTTTTAAAAAAAGATCACGCACCAACCTTCTTCAGCTGAAAACATTTAATAAAATCTCTTTACTTCTTGCTATAATTTTTTTCCAGTTTTAAACAGAGTAGATGCAGAATACTTTAAGCAAAAGGATTACAAGGAGAAATTGAAGTAATGTAAAACATGCTAGAGAAGAGGAACCTTATCAACTGAAATGTGCTGTGTGGATGTGGTACAGCTGTCACTGCAGGAAGTGAAGCGTTCAGTAAATGCTACATTTCTGCTGTCTTTACATCTGAATTGTCTGCTAATGGGAGGTTGATCATCCTGATATCAATCCAAGCACAATAATAAAATTGCTGTAGGGGACTTGAATATCTGGTATTTAGGAAGTTTAATGCATTTTTATTAGATTTTATGCTAGATATAAGTAATACAAAATAAACATGCCTGGGCATCTATAAATTGGCTCCACTTGTCAGAATTAAGGTAGTATCAGCAAGAAGTTAAGCTGAAAATCAGTTTAGGAAAGTGGTTTGCTTCTGTTGTGAGTTTACATAGAACTAGTGGCATGATTACTACAACATATAGCTATATCTGAATTAGTTATGAGCTCAAGTCCGTGCAAAAGGCAGTTTGAGTTTTTTTGTATTGTAGACTGACTGTATGTCTCTAATTACAGTGCATAACCATCGTGGGTGGAAGGGTGGGAAGTATGATTTAAGGATCCTACCAAGCTAGTCTTCAAGCTTTTCGGTGACCAAAAAAAAAAAATTCCTTCATGATAAAACTTGCAGTTAACATGGAAAATTGAAGAGAAAAGCAAACAATAAAGACTGTGTATCTAGCAGTTTGTTTTGCTTTGTGAATAAAATGGCAATGTTTCAGTAAAATGCATGTATATTGAGTAGGGCAGAAGGACTGAGACTTAACAAACACTTGCATGTTGGCTGTTTATGACAAATGGCATCTGAGTTTAGATATAATTGGTAACAAAGGGTTGAGAGAATGGAGCATGGCAGTTGGGAGGCTCTTAGGTCATTCAAACAGCTATTGACATACAGTCCTGGTCAGCACTGCAAGGAGGATTATCTGGAATGGTTGAGTAGAACTACAACTTCTTTTAAAGGATTAAAGAAAGTTAGCCATCCTGGGTATTTAGCTTCTTATGTCCTATTTCAAAAAGCTATATTTAAAGTGTATAAAATAGCTTGGGTACAAACTGTTTTTGTTGTTAAAATAACATGAAGCATAGAGTGTGATGGTAAAATACATCTGGACTTCTCTGGCATACCAAGTAAATATGAGGTTTTCAGACAGCATCCTCTTAAAGAATCTTTCAGAACGTACATTTTCTGTACCTGACTACCCTGATAACTGGATGTTAAATTTTTGTATTGAAATGAGATGGTGACTGGGAATGAAAAGGAGTCAGATTTTTTTTTTTGTGGTGTGTTAGCAGTGAAAGAGGTTCTTGAATAATTGGTTGTTATGGAACTGAGGAGTGGCCAGGAACATACACAGAAACTGAGCAAGTGGAATACATTTTGTGCATATGGCAAAATTCCTGATGATGGAAGCTGTATGCACCACTTTGCTGGGACAGTCTAGGCTTTCATTGTTCACACACCCTGCAGTCAATTTCATCAGTTAAAGGAACACCACTGGTAACCCACACTATATAGAACCAAGCAATAAATAAGCAATATTTCAGGTCAGTTTAGTGGATGAGTGGACTGATAAACATGTATATCAATCTGTCGGTTCACAGAAAGACAGTGTGTAAAAGGAGTGTTTTGCCCCTTGTTTTGCTCTACAATAACTCCCAATCTAGTAACTGAAACTAATTTGTAACCCAAATCTATAGTGATGCATTAGGTTAGAATCCTGTTTGAGTCTTGAACTGTTTCCTTTGGAGACTGTTGGTCTTGACAAGACCTTTTAGCTTTGAAGTGCTCTCGACTTTTCCTGATAATTGAATATATGTAGAAAAATGGAGCTTTTGTGAGGCAATGTTAGTTAGTTAGTCCTGGGCTACTACTTCATTTAACTGTTCAACTATTGGGGTGTTCAAAGTATGGGTCCCCAGTTAGTCAGAAGTGTCTTCAGCTATGATGTCTGTAGGAAATTTCTCAAAGTTTGTTTTGGATACACTGTCCTTACCAACTGAGGCCCTGGGTAGGGCTTTGGTCAATTTGCATAGCTCTTCAAACACTGTTTCATCTTTTAAAACAACCTCTGTAACACCTGCTAAACAGCCATGAATTGTCTTCTAGTCTCCATTAAAGATAGAGTTCTGTCCACAATGAGGCTGCCTTCTCAGCTTTGTAGCAAAAATTAACTTTATCCATACTGGAAATGTAATTTCTGTTTCTGTTCAATGAGGCCAAGTTGTTTTCCATTTGTCTGAAAGACCACTGCTTGCTGATGTTTCTACTTAGTGGACCTGTAAGACTTCACTGGCCCAGAGAGGAGTTAAAAGGCCATTTGTTATAGGTGATACTGATATCTTTCCCCAGTTGAGGGCCAGAACAGCAGCAGTTACTTTTCTTCCTCAGCCTTCACATAAATAATTTGGAGGAGTGCAGCTAAGCAGCAGGACACAGTGTCTCCGTTGTCATCAGCAGCAATACAGAAGTATCTCTTAGATGGCCAAGTATGCAAACAGATCTTTTTAAGTTCTTGATCCTGAATGTAAGCAGAAACAAATTGTATAAGTGTAACAGACTATAACTTAACCATTTTTATGATAGCTTGCAATTTTAAGTGTCCAAAATGTGTTAGCTCTTGAAGCACACACACTGAGTTACTGTACTTGGGTTTGTCTCCCGCTTGTCCCTGAGGCATCCTGCTTTCAGCTTTGGACTGGATGTGGTAACTGGAACACTAGAGTTTTACTCCAACAGACTCACATTAAAAATGTCTGAGACTTGAGTACTCTGTTGTATAGTGCTAAGTAAATTATTTTGAGGAATTGTTCTGTAGACACCTCTGCTGTCACTTAACCATCTTTTCCTTGTCCAGTCATTTTCTCTGTAACTGCAGAGCAAAAGGGGCTCTACCTCAAGTGTATGTATGCCAGTACAAAAGTGCTGAGATGCCAGCATTAAGAGCAAAGCTCTCATACCTTTTGTGGAAAATCAGCACAATTTGGGTGCCTCTGAAGTGCCTAAATACTAATGCATGCAGCAGGGAAAACAAAGGAGAAGTTGGAAGTTTGCATGCTGTTTAGGGTCTACAGTATCACTGGGATCAGATGTGGTGAAATAGCTCACACAAGTGGAGAGCTGCCCTGGCTGGGTGTGGGCTCGAGGAGCGACAGGCTAGGATGGCTGGTAGTGGGAGTTGACCTTTATGTGAGAGCAGCGGGAATGTGTGGAGTTTTGCCTTGGAATGGATAAACCGGGGAAGTGTTTATGTGTTAGGATTAGAGGTTCAGCTTAGCATGGGTGATATTGTCTGCTACAGGCTGCCTGATCAGGAGGAAGTAGCAGATGATTGTATAAATAACTTCCATGTTCACAGTCCTTGGTCCTCATAGAAGGCTTGAGCCACCCCAGGTATCTGCTAGAGAAGCAACATAGTTGGGCACAAGCAATCCAGGAAGCTTTTGGAGTGCACTGATGACAACTTCATGATGCAGGCAATTTAGGAGTTTAAGTAGGGAGATGCTGGTTTTGGCTTGGTGCTGAAAACAAGGAAGTGGTCAAGGGCAGTCTTGGCTGCAGTGAGCATGGAATGGTGAAGGTTCAGAATTTTAAGAGGAAAGAACAGGGCAAATAGCAGGATCATGGCCCTGGCCTCCAGGGAGCAGACTGTGGCTTGTTCAGGGACCTGCTTGAAGAGTTCTAGCAGGTAGAAAGCCTGTGCTGGCTGGCTGGCAAAGGTGTAACTTCTTTAACTACTTTCACTGGTTGAAGTGATACTGAACTCTTGTTAGTCTTACTATAAATATTGTTGGGTTTTACTTAATCCTTTATTATAAGAAATAACTTCCAACATTTCTTTGTGAGTTAGCTTTGTGTAAGACTACTTTTGCTTCATTTAATACTTGTGTAGTTTGCTTTGTGTAGTATTACTTACATATTTGTTGCTTTTAATGTAATGAATTAATTTGGCAAGAGATTAACCAACCCCCTTGCATTCTAGCTAGTCCTCAGAGATGGGGGGTTAGGGGCAGCTGGATTTACCTCTTTATAGATATTCTAATTACTGCTGTAACTATAGGCCTGACACCAGATGTGTTAGGACCACGGCCCATGTGCTGTAGGTCAGGTTACGTTCAGGAGAAGCAGTCAGGTTCATGAATAGTATGGTTTATTCTTATGCAACATCTGCAGATTTTTTGAGATTGCCTATGATAAATGCACAAACTGCAGGTTGATTTTTATAGCACTACACAAAAAAATTGCAGTCATACACACTTAATTTCTAGATATTCATTTGGCAGAGCTGAGGGCCCAAATCTTAACCAAAAGGCATACCTTCTGGGGGGGGGGGCGAGGAACACAAACCTGTTGATGTCTCCCTCTGATCTGGCATTGGATTATCATCCCTCTGAGTTAGATACAAACTTGGGATAGTATTTTTCTAAGTATGTATGCGTGAGTGGGTGGGTCTGTGGCCAAGCCATTGTTTCTTGAGTATCAACGCAGCACATTCCTTGGTGCAAGATGTGTGTTGGTTTTGTGGGAAAAGAGGAAGAATGAGAGAAGGCTCACAGAGTTCTGCAATATAGTCCCCGAGAGAAGGGTAAGAGCAGGAAATTTAATCTTCATAGTCATGTCACATATTCCTTGAAGTGGAAGAATGGGAGTCCATGGCCTTTACCTCACATTCCTCCTTTGTGCCATGGCATCACAAATAACTGGATCTCCATCCTGTCCTGTATTTGTTGTGGGCACTATGTGTTAGGGAAATATGTGTTTTGCAGGTTTTTTGCTGGTTTTACCACACTTCCAACAATATTGAAGAAGCTTAAATTTGAATGTTAGTTTCTAGCTACATAAAAATGATTTTCAGCTGATTTAATGAGTTAATGAGACTACTGTTCCTCTTAGCATAGCAAATGTGGTTCTTAATTTTTATTAGGTAGTGTTAATATTATGAAATGCTTTACTTTATATCTCTGTTTTGGAATACATTTCCCTTTTTGTCTGTTTTTGAAATGGTAGAAAACTTTCCATGGACCTTTACAAGGTTTTGCCTTGTATAGGAGAGAAGAAAGGATTGCTGGGGTGAGAGAGGCTGGTTTTATGACTTCAAGGTACACCCCAGTGCCTTGAGCTTGTGGAAAGCATTTAGAGTTGAACCGAGATATGTCAGAAGTTTTGAATTACAGGAGTATTCATGGAGAACAAGAATGTTATTAGAGCTGGAAAAAATCCTAGATGTTATCAAAGGAAACCTGCAGGTCTAGCTATTGTTGCATGTTGTATTTTAAATTCTTGCTATTTAAAAATTAGAATGAATAAAGATAAGGAAGAGAAAATTTTGATTCTGATTGTTCTGTGCTTTTTGTATGCCTCTGTAGTTGTACAATACTGTTCTTTTGAAGGAACGCTGCTCATAGAGTGCAAGCTGTAATGGTGACAGCCAGCTGGAATACTTCCTGAAGATGGACCACTCTAAATGTATACTGAATAATGGAAATTTCATGTCGTCTGTTCTTGCCCTATTGTTCCTATCTACACATTGTCCTCTTTTGGTTCCACTTTAGCTCCTGATTAATCATACTCCTTTTGGATCCGTTTTTCTAAGGCAGTAGTGGTCTCCACACTTCCATATGTTTGGGTGAAACAAAGTTTAACTGCTCATACAAACTGCTGCTGTTCAAGATAGGCACTTGTTTGTTTCGTTTGAATGTTCAGAGTGAAAGTTGTATTTACTTGATTTTGTAATATTGATAATTGAATATTGATAAACTTCAGCAATGAAGATTATGTGCCAGTTTGTACTGATTTCTGGTAGGTTTTAAGGGATATATTTTCTTCAGCATGAAGGAGAAAAGGTGTTGACCCTTACTGATTTCTTTAGAGACCTTCCTGTTTAGGAAATCCTGAGGGTGAAAGTAAGTACAGTAGATATGAGACCATTTGAAGTGAATTAGTTTATGAAGAAATCAATGTAGTACAAAGGACTTGCATTGGACTCCACAGAAATTATTCACTGACTGTTGAAAGTAAGTGTGGTACATAAAGAGTTTGTGTAGTCTCTGAAAGGGTTAGTTTTCCAAAGACTTCAGATATTTAAAAAGGAATGTTTGGGTTTTCAATAGTTCAGCATAATCTGTCATCTTCTCCTCTGGCTGTTTTATGTCTATTGGATACTATCATCTGGCTTTTAGACCAGAAGTAAACTATATTAGGTATCATTGTGCAAGACTAATACTTCCATGTTGTCTTGATCACCAAAGTTGAAATCCGAAGTCATTTTATGCTCAGTTTTCATTTCAGAGGTGAAGTTTTCATTTTTTTGAGTCTTCAAAAAGAGCACAAGCTACTGACTTTTTCTAAATGAAAGCACATTTAGAAATGTTCATGTTGTACTATTTACAGCTTACTCTGCATATACTGTTCAAAACCAAACTTAATCCTTTTGAATATCGTAAGAGGTTTGTCAAAGCCTTTTTTTATAACATTAACTTACTGGGAGATGTGGTTTTCTGGGACTATCACTGTGTATGGAAGAATATTGCTGGTAGACTAGTGTACTAATTTTCTGTATTTATCATGCAGAGTAATAAGACAATTGACGGTCAACCAAGGAATGTGACATTTGTATCTAAAGACTGTGATGCAGATGCACCTGAAGGTAAGATAGATAAATATCTTGTGTGCCCAACGTGGTATGTGCATGCTCAGCTGTAATAAGCAGCTCAGTCTCTTTATGACTTTGATTTGCTTTAGTCTCATGTGAAGCTTTGATATATAGCTATGTCTAGAAAACAGCTTACTTATAGCTTATTTAATCCATTTGAAGAAATCACTATTTTTAGTAGAAACCATGTGTAACAATGCATTCCAGTTAACTTGAAAATCTCCCATTTGCTTTAACGTGTGTAGAAGATCTTAAAAAAAAAAAAAAACCCAACTAGCTGGTGAATAGTTTAGCATCTGAAGTGTCACTTCAGTGTATATGTTTTATGATAAACATGCAGAGAAGTATTCTTTTAAATTTCACACTGTACTCAAGAAAACTAAGATCTGAAATTCAGTGTAACTTCACAGGTAAGAGAATTCTGCAGTTTTAGATGTAAATATGGGCTGTTTCATGAACAATAATACCAGTGCAATGAGACATTTTAGGCTATTTTCCTGTAATCCTCTTACTCTTATTCCCTATAAGTCTTTCTCATCTGTGTTATTAACCATACCTTTTTGACCAGTTATTTGGGCAGGAGTTATATTGTGGGTATTCTGGAGCTCTGAGTAGTGACTAGCAAGCAATGGTTAACTGTGGAGCTTTCCTTGCATTTCCAACTATGCAGACGTTAATATTGAGGTTTTTTTGAGAGAACAATAACTATTTATTTAGTCTTTTTCTTCTGAGAAGGTTGACTAAAGCTTAGACTGAGTCTTTGCCTGGTTTCATTAAAAAGCAAGCTAATTGAAATCATGCTGGATTTGTTTTTTATGTTGTTGCCTTTCTCCTTTCTTTTTCTTTGCATATAGACAGTTTTTGCACAGTTTCAATTGCACTAGCCATTGCAATACTGGTGCTGCTGTTTAAGGTCACCATCAATTTTATTGATTGCTTTGGTCTCTTGTTTAAAAAAATTGATCTCAGCAAAAGATTTATGGCCTTCAGAATCCAGGTTTTTTCAGGCTGAAGCTCTCAATTGTTCTCACTCTCGCAAACTTTCAGGTCCTCTGTATAAAGGAGTTGAATTATATATGCATTTATACAGTTATAAAAGGGCTTGACAGTGTTTGTTAATTGATAGAAAGATAAATAGTTGTCCTGTGTTCTCATCTTTATTACCAGTATTCTGTATCTACTGAATTCTTCTATGCTTCCAGAAGATCTTAGCAGCTCCCGGGTTTTCTTCCTACTTGTTTTATTGGGAAAAATAATATTTAATTTTAAACAATTTAAATGCTAGTGGAGAAAACTGGATCATTGGTTCTTTGTTCCCAGTCTCAGGCTGTGGTCTCTTTTGTAAGGTGTTTCCCTTGTATTTAAACTCATCTTCAAATTTAGTATGTAGGTGTTAGTCTTATTCCTGGTGGTTCATATTGTTTCCCAAGGGAGATGTTGTTTTTCTCCTCTCACCAATATTTAAATCATTCATCCACCTTTCTTTTTGATGGCTATTTTTAGACTTAATGCAGTTTTAAGTGTGTTGATATTTTGACAAATGTAATTGTTCAAATCGTTTTTAAGCTACCATGTTTTTGTGATTAAAAATAGAGACTCTTCTGTGGCACTTTAGAAGAGCAAAACCTGTCATCTTTCAAAATGAGCAGGTTGTACAGATCTCTGTTTCTTGTAAACAGTTTCTTGGCTTGCCTAGTATTTGCTGGGAGAAGAATACACTCACTGGCATTGATAAGCTCATTAGTCTTGATTTTTCTGGAAGAAATTTAAATAGTCTTATATCCTCAGACTTTGCTTAATCATAGGAGCTGGGGTTTGACTAAAATAAACTTCCTAAATTCCACCTATGCTTGATGATATTTTGAGTACTTTGAGTGATTTTATTTTTTTTTTTTCTTTTCCCCTAATTTGTTTTGATCTGTGGAAACAATATAGCTGATGCTTTAAACTAGTGTTTTAATCTGATGTGCTGAATGCAAGAGTTGGCCTGTGTAAATGATGGCTTTGGTTTGTCATCATTAATATATTGTTGCACATGAGTATCTTTGAGTCATGTTCCCTTTTCTTAATAGGTAAGAGGTGGAGAAGGTATTGATAAGCTGTCCTATGCTAGCCTAATGTAAGTAGTAGATAGATGGATTTTTCTTAAATGTGAATGTTAGTATGATCAAAAAGCTATAGTGCAGTTCTAACTAGAGGTACAGTCAGGCCATTAAAGTGTTTTTATAAATAAAAGGAAAGTTTCTTTTGTAATGCTCAACTTCTTTTAAAAGAAAGTTGCATTAGTAAAAACACTTCATTCACTATTTCATCTAGTCAGCTTTAGAAAATGGAGATGTAATGCTTGCCTTGGAGTATCTGCCATTTTTAATACCTGATAATGAAAATAACTGTTGTAAATGCTGCTCTTATGCTCAGTGATCAGATAGAACATGTTTACAAGTGAAACATCTTTCAAAGGTAGAAGCTAGATATTTTTATTACAAGTTCTATTGTTTTTAAGGATATAAGATACAGAGCAAAAATAGATGCAACTAACTTCAAATTAAGATAAAGGCTGGCCAAGCACTTGTAGATTTTATTGACTTCTCTGGTGCTAGGGTTTTATCTTATGTAAATCACTGAACTGGAACTAAAAGCAAATATTGATTTGTCTTCTCAGCACTTTTTTGTATTATTTAAACTGAATTAATTCTAACAGGTGTTTTTCCTTAAACCTAAACCAAACCTTTTAATGGCTGTGCTGATAGATAAGGTTATAGCAATCTGCTCTGTCTTACTGAATACATAGGTGTTGTAGATATGATCTCTTACTGTAACAAAGTACATTTTTTTTCTTTGAGATGGTAGAAGAGACCTGATCTGATCTTGTTGTAGTAACTAATACTCTCAAAGGCTTCAGTATTAAAACTTCAGGATTTAATGGGCAGTGTTGTCTATATATGCATTTCAAACAAGTGTTTTGTTTAATGAAAAGTACAGTTACACTTTCTGGAGAAACATAAGGCAGTTAATAGTATAAAAACCACACTTTTAAGTATTTACAATTAAATATATAATTTATGGGATTTTAGCAAGCTTTGCTGCATGAAAGCAGACAAAATAATGTCTTTTTACTCCTGGTATGCAGAAGGTGTATATGCTTTATACTGAATGTCAGAGGCTGTAATAGCATAACTACATGAAATAGAAGCTGAAAAATAATAGAGCAGGCTACGTCTTTTAATTCAGTAAAGTACCTTTTCTTAGTTATGTTTAAATATATTTCACAAAAGACTTGTGTTCTGGTTAACAGACTTTTTAAAAGCTTCTTAGTCTTTTGGAGCAGCAAATTTAATATATTTGTTATAGGTAAAAAAACCCTAGTTTTCATTGTTCGATACAGTTGGGCAAAGACCTCATTTGATCATTGCCTTCAAGGACTAATGCCAGCAGAATTGTTGGGTCCACAGTTCAGCTGAGCACAAGGTAAAGCAAAGGAGTTCAGTTATGGGATTAAGACTCTTGCAGCTGGACTAATGCATTGAAAATTTGGTATAGGTTTAGCTAAACAGGTTAATGAGTAATGTAAATGAGCAATGACTCAGCTGCAAGCCTGGATATGAGACTTTTCCCAAGCTTAATTGAGATCTGATAAACACTATCTGCCTCTTTCTAGATCAGAAAACTGTGAAAGTTGTTTTTAAGCATCATTCACATTAAAGGCATAACTTGCTATAAATCCCCCTTGGATTCTCTCATTTCCTTAATTGGTGAAATGAGCCTTACCCGAGGCCTGTGAAGTGCTGGGTACAGTCTATCTGCTGGGCCTTTTGCATAGACTCCAACTGCATGTAAAGTAGGAAAGAAGAAAGGTTATCTCCATGTCTAAGACTCTGAACTGAACAGGACTTACTTGTGCTGATTTAGATCTGTGCCACCTTATAGGACTGTCTTGATTTTCAGCTGACGAGTGCAAGACTTCAGTCTTTATCGTAGGATGAATAAAGGCTAGATGTAGATATTACTCAAGCTGAAAAGGAACCCCAAATATGAATGTCAAAACAGGAGTGTATTTGTTTTCTCCATCATAGAAATCCAGGAGGCATGCAAAACAAAAGCACAAGCAAGTTGGTTCAGTATTAGTGAGTTTGTATTAAATCAGTAATTTTGTATTATGTGTCTTATGGCCATAGATTACCACTTCCACATGGTTGTTTTAAATGAATTAATTGGCAGTTATAAAATGCCTTAGAAAAAGCCTAAATGAGGATTTTAGTGAGAACTTTATCCATTGTCCTGTTACTGAAATGTTGGAAGCTACTTCTGATGGTGTAATCATCTTTTTATCTTAGTACAGACAACTGATGAATTCACTACATAACATGCTTAAGAACAGCCATGCAGAAAGCTTGGACAGCAACCTGTAACTACAGCTGGTAAAGCTACATACATGCTTCCTGTCTAGCCTCAAATATGGCTTGCCCAATAGAATTAGAAAGGATCAATTCATGAAGATGGTATTTGTCACTAAGACATGTCCTGCAGCTAAGGTTGGATGAATTACATTGGTCTGGGCAAATCCTATCTGAACTGAGAGAAGCCTGACTGGATTACAGTCATATCTAACATACTATGTGTCTGAAGGAGGCAGAGAATCAGAAAGGGTGGGAAGGAAGCCACTGTTTTCAGATCATCATTATCAATAAGAAAATCACTAATAACACATACAACTTATTTAAAAAAAAAAAAAAAAGGCATTGGGTCTTCTAAGTTTGACTCTAATGATGGTTATAAGTAGTTTTGTTTTCCAGACAATAAGCAAGACTTTCCAGCACTGAAGGTTGCCCTCCTTTGTCAAATGCTTCTTTGAGTGTAAGCTGGCTATAAATACTTCTGTCTACAGACAGAATGTGAGATAGTCAATGTAAGGTTGCTAAGGGGTCAAAATCATGTTGCTAAGGGGTCAAAATCATGTTGCTAAGGGGTCAAAATCATGTTGCTAAGGGGTCAAA